CTTCTGACATAGAAATGACAGTTGACACAATGTTTGTCATATTTCTTATGTCAAAACTGTTAAGTTCCTATTTATTGATTCAGGTTGGTTTTTAATGGTTAGTCTTAGGTTTGAAAAGTTGACTTATTTGCTTTGCCTTGATTAATTAATTGAAATATCTTGAAATTGGTATGTAATCTTTGAATTATTTTATGTATAATTGTCTTTGTGGTCCTTTAGATGGATACTAACTTTGTGGACAACTTGTTCATTCTTTTGTAATTATTAAAGTCGATGATATTGACATGTTTCTTTTATTTGATTTTTAATCCATGTTGACCATAAGTTTGCTTAATTAGCTTAGCAATGTGACTATTTGATTGTTTTTTGTGCACTAATTTTTTTTTGCTTTTTTTGCGGGGATCATACTCTACTTAGATTGTATTTCTTAATTTTTGGAAAATATTTTCAGGTGGAAATATTTGAGCCCAAGCTAAAAAGCTTGAACAAATTTCAACAGCAGTGCAAGCTAAAGGACATCTACTTCCCTTATATTCAGGTGTCTTTGCATTAAAAAAAAAAAAAGCTTCATTCTTATCCAGTTAATTTGTGGTTTCATATATGAATATAAGTGTAATTATATAATATATTTACCACATTTCTAGATTTTATGTATAGTCTTATAATTATTTGTATTTATCTCCTTATTGGTGTATAATGTGCAAAAAGCATAAAAAGCATCATTAATGTCACTCGTCTCTGTCCAGGAGCAGTAAAACTGTGGAATAAAGTATGTTGAACTGCCAATTTGTCTTGGCAGCCTAGGCCTGTTCTGTTTTTCTGCTTACTGAAATTTTTTGTGCTTTTGGAGGTGGTAGAAAAGCTTCATCATCATTCAACTGTGGGATTTGGGCTATTGTTTGAGTTATTTATCAGAAAGGAACAGGAGGATTTTTGAAAATGTTAGAGAAGAGGACCTTAACATTTAATTGGATACAATAGTGATTTTTAGTTGTTAATTTGATAAGTTTATTTAAGTGTAAATGTTTGGGAACACTCTGTGTATTGAAAGTGAAAGCACTCATGGATCATTTCCATATGCCTACCAGCCAAGGCTTTTGTTGCTTATGGACTTTGGTAGAAAATATATGGCAATACATTTGCATACATAAGGCATTGCCTTTAATGATAAGAACGTTTCTATTTTTTTCTTTTTTTTTTCTTATTGTTATTTCTCATATTTTACCTATCCAGCTCTTTTCTTTTTTGTGTAAGAAAGCTATTTTTTATTTTTTTTTAATTCATTATCATGACAATTCGGTTGACCATACAAAATTAATTTGATTGTAGACATTATCGATATGCAAATCTTTTTAGATATTAATAATTATTAGGTCTTATATATTGTCTTGTTGATGTGCAGTGCGATGAGGTATCTAAGACGGGGAAGACCACCACACCAATTGAGCTCCAGGTTTAACTTGTTACTGTTATTTTACCGGCTGAATTTCTTCCCAATACTTCAAGTGATTGGTATACATACACCAAAGTACTTGGGATTTTTTAAAGCAAATTTTACGAGTCATGAGAAGGAATTACAGAAGACAGAGAGATTGGATTGCAGCTTTGTCTCTATTTATGTTATTAATAGAGTTCTTTTTTATGTTTCTTAAAATAAAAAAAGAAAATAACAAAAAAGTGATTTCTTCTTTGCGGGCTAATGGTGTTGACTTAGCTGAAATTGCAGGTGGGGAGGTTGCAATAACGAACATGCATTCATGTAATGGTCTTGAGTTCGTTTTATAGCTTCACTTTTCCTTTAAACTTGGTTGTTCTACACCCAAAAGTCCTGGTAGCAATTGCTGTTTTTTTGTCATGATTTTCAAAGGCCAATAGGTCTCATGGATAAGGGAGGATGTGTCCTTGTGGAGAACAATGGGACTGTTAGCTTGGATATTTTTGGCAACTTATAGTTACCTATTGGCATAATTGATTTTGGAAAGGTTTTCCATTTAGTTTCAATTTTCTCTTTATTGCTGCGTACATTTCTATTTCTTTGATATTTGCAAATTTTACTTGAGTGTAAGTATTTATTTATTTTTAGTCATTGGCATTAGTGTGTGTATGTGTTGACAATATTGATTAGGAACTGCAACTAGAGAAGCAACGTCAGAAGGCTCTTGCTTTGTTTGACTTGTTGGACACAACATAATGTCAAGAGTTAGATGTTGATGGGGTCTGTATTCATCAAACTTCTCTTATTTTGGTTTATCAAGGATGAGAACAATGATTAAGTTATCTGGAAATTCATAAATATAGAATGTCACATCTTGTATATATGTAAAAATATTCTTCATTTCTTTTGGCACTTAGCTTGAGGAACAAAAATTCATTCCATTCTTTTCACTTCCATCAAGATATTTAATCACAACTAATTAGTTTTTGTTTCAGGCATTACCTTTTAGTGCTAAAGCTGGAGAGTACCTCCTAGAGAAATTGTGGCTGTTGTTCGACTTGCCAATGTTGTTTCTTCTAGTGCTTCAATGAAGTTGGACCAAAAGCACATTGTTAAAAATAATCTACAGATGATCATGGAAATCGGATTCACGGGTGAAAGGAAGAATCTTTAAAAGGGTATCAGCATCTACACAGCTTGTGTACCACCTACTTCTACGAAAGGGTATCAAGGTTTATATATATTTGAATTCGGGTGCAAGTTACCAAACTCCTTTCAGAATGCTGGGATGTATAGGTTTTCATTTCACCTTGTAAGTGATACAAAAGATTTTTATCTCCTTTTGTTCGTTGCATTATAATATAATATCGTTTGTTATCTTTTATGATTATATAACTGGATGTGATGGAATTTTGTGCCTTAGCCTCAGTTAAGCTGTAAGAGTTGTGAGAGATAGGTGGTGGTTAAGGGATTTTCTGAGGTTGGAAATTGGAGACTATTGAGTTGTAAACAGAGTAAAGGTGGAACAAATTGGCCGGGCTAGGCGGGTCAACCCTAACCTAGCCTGCATTAAAGAGGGTTCAACCCGGACCACCAATAAGGCGGGCCAGGTTGAACCCAACCCGCATGCAACCCCCGGGTGGGCCGGGTTGATATATGGCAACCTGGCAACCCGTGGGTTGCTACTTTGTTTATTTTTTGGGAAAGGCTCGCCAACCCCTCGGGTTGACCCGCGGGTTGGCCCAAAAAAAATAAAAATAAAAAAACAAAATTCATTTTTTTTTCAAATACCCTTTTTACCCTTGAAATATAGTCGTTTTATAGTAGTTGGAGGGGTTTTTTTCATCATTTTCTTTTCCCATTTTTTTCTATAAATTGGCCCTAAACTCTCATATTTTCTCACATCTCAAATTCTCTCCACTATTTTAAAAGCCGGACCGGACCGGCCGGTCCAACCGGTTGGATCGTGAATCGGTCACGTGTCCGGTTCGAGTTACCCTCAAATCCGCTAATATGTATTGAGCCGTTTTAAACCGGTTGAAAACCAGATAATATGAGTGAATCGTCGGTCCAACCGGACTGGCGAAAAAACCGATCCACAATTTAAATCCCTAATACGCGACCATCGTCTTCTCTCACGCAAGCCATTCTTCTCTTCTTCTCTATCACGCAGTGTCGCAACCTTTCTTCTCTTCTTCTCTGTCACGCAGCGTTGCAGCCCTTTCTCATCTTCTTCTCTTTCAGTTTTTCTCACAAAAATTCTCACGATTTCGGTTGTCTTCTGTTCTCTCTGAAATCCCACCCAAATCACATCTAAACCCACTGGAAATCAACGACGACGTCTTCCTCCCTCTCCAGAAATCAACGTCGTCTTCCTCCCTCACTGGAAATCGACGACGACAGCTCCATTCGTCGATCCAGGCAATGCCATTCCTCGCTCCCTTTACATTTAAGTTAACACCCTTTTCATTTTTCAATCTATAGAGCTGTTGTGGTTGTATTAACATGATCTTGAGGATGGTTTTGCTTTGATTCAATTATATTTGCACAAAAAAAGTGCAGGGAATTTAATTAGTGCATTGCAGTATTACACCAAACAGAGCCTAATCAATAATGTCACTCTCCATGATTCTTAGCTCATGTGTTACGTTTCTATATTTGATTCCTATCTTATCATATGAGTAAATCAACATGATCTAAAACATCTGTATGAATCCCTTGCTTCAAGAAAATAGTGAACACTCTTGTAGAACAAAGAAGAATGAGATCAATGAAATAACTAAAATTCTCGGCTTCAAATTAAATATGCAGTATGCTGAGATTGAAAATCCAGATGCAATCCCAGCAACATTTGAAAGTAACAGCAAACTGGATGGAATTAATGACAACGTTAATTAAAGTCTCAACTCCATTGTTTCAAGGACTATATATGTGATATGTTCCCCACAAATAATTAGAACCAGATATTATAGTTGTTGGGATCTTTTAATTTCTGTAGAACCAGATATTGATGTTAAAAATCAATCTTTGATGATTCCACTACAGAAAGTTCAATTCTCTACCACTGATTGGATGTAGAGTTTGCAATATTTTTTTGAAAATGCTGATACATGACCAAGAGTTTAAACAAAGATGAAAATTGCTTTTGCTGAGAGACTGTAGATGATTAAGTAATTGAATTAGCTAGTATAGATTTTCAGGTCATAAAAAGCTTCCCTTAGCTGATAGCCTGATAGTTGTTATGATAGTTTTTTTTTGCATTCTGAGGCTTGCTCCTGTTAGCATAAGCTCTGTAGTAATCATATTCTTTCGTGGCTGTGGTTGTGAGTAACGACAAGTTTTGTTTTATGTTACATTTATATGCCATATAAAAACAATTAACAATGTATTTTGTATTTGATTCTTTTGATTATACCAAAAAGTTTACTCACAAATGATCTTGAAAAAGATTAAAAATTGTTGGTTGCATTTATCTTGAGATTACACAGCGGTGAACTTGCAATTGGTTGAGTGATAATTGTTGTTATTTCTTGTGTAATAGGTAGATAAAGATTAAAAATAGACAATGGTAACATCTGGCTCTGGGTCTTCTTCACAATCTAATAGAGGTAGGACTGATATAACATGGGCACATGTTATTGAGGGTGTAGATCCAAATGGAAAGAAGACATTAAGATGTCTTCACCGTGGGAAAGTGACTAGAGGAGGAGGTATTTTTAGAATGAAACAACATCTAGCTGGAACAAAGGGGGATGTTGGTGCTTGTAAAAAAGTTCCTTTTGATGTTCAATACTCCATGAGAGAATCACTAAAAGACATTGGGAAAAAGAATAAAGAGAAGGCTGATTCTAGTAAGTATAATACTCCCTACGGTGCTCCCGTACATGTATTTGAGGGAGATATGTTAAATGAAGATAGTGAAGAGTTTCGTCCATCAGGAATTCACATAAATGAAGGTAGGTTTGGTAGTCAAAAACAAAGTACAATGCTAGACAAATCAAAGAGAAACAAATCTATTGGGGTTGGTGACTATTTTGCTCTAAGGACAATTGGTGGATCTCAACCATCAATTAGGAGTTGTTTAGCTGGAAAAGATGCGACGTGGAGAGCAGACATGACTTTTGGAAGATTCTTTTATAATGCTTGCATCCCAATTAATGCTGTAAATTCAATTTATCTTCAGCCTTTGGTGGATGCTATAGCCGCAATTGGGCCTAGGTATAAACACCCAAATTATCATGCTTTGCGTGTCAATTTGTTAAGAGATGCTAAGAATGAAGTGCAACTTCTTGTTGATAGTTATAGAAAGATTTGGAAAAATGTTGGATGTACCTTAATGGCTGATGGTTGGACTGATAATTCACATAGATCATTGATCAATTTTATGGTGTATTGTCCTAAGGGAGTTTGTTTTGTGAAATCAGTTGATGTTTCATATGTTGTGAAGGATGCTGGGACATTGTTGAAGATGTTTGAGGAGGTAGCTTTATGGATTGGACCAAATAGTATTGTCCATTTTGTCTCAGACAATGGATCCAATTATAAAGCTGCTAGAAGAATGTTGTCTGAGAAATATCCGAGTATTACTTGGTCACCCTGTGCAGCACATAGCATAAATTTGGTGTTAAAAGACATAGCTGAGATGGATCACATAGTTTATCTTGCGAGACGTGCTTCTGAAGTGACGAAGTTTATATATAATCATACATTTTTGATAGCATGGTTGAGGAAAAGACAGGTAATATACCTTTAGCTCATGTTCTTGTCAAGTCATAACATAATATGCATTTTTAATAATTGACTATCATCTATTATTTATCAATTGAACAGGGTTGGAAAGAAATTGTTCGTCCGGGTGCAACCTGTTTTGCTACAACTTTCATTGCAATGAGAAGCATTCATGAGCACAAACATGACTTGCAAGCCATGGTGACAGATAGGTCATTTGTCGATTCTCGATATGCAAAAAGTAATAAAGGCAAATATGTTATTGACATAATTTTGGATAACGATTTTTAAGATGATATGGGTAAGATATCCAAAGTTGTGAGTCCATTGATGCGCTTGTTGAGGATTGTTGACTCAGATGAGAAGCCAGCAATAGGATATGTGTATGATGACATGTACAGAGCGACAAATGCAATTAAGAAGTTGTTTAAGAATAAAAAGAAATTCTACAAGTCTTATACATGAATCATTAAGCTACGTTGGGATAGGACATTGCGTCGTGATATCCATGCTGCGGCTTATTATTTGAATCCTACCTTTAAATATGACGAAGAATCTTTTTGCCTCAAGCCAAAAGTCATGAGTGGCTTCCTTGATACTATTGATAGTAAAGCAAGTGCTTTCAATTTTAGCAAGACAAGGTTAATGGAAGAGAGTAGATTATATTCAAATTGGGAGAAAGCTTTTGTCGCGGGCTTGCTCTTGAAACCGCCAAAACCACACGTCCTGGTACGTAATAGTTATAAAATTTATAAGTTCTTTTGTTTTTTAAGTCTAATTTATTTATTATGTTTAATTTTCAATTAGATGAATGGTGGAGATCATTTGGGTATAGTACTCAAAATTTGCATAAGTTTGCAATAAAAATTCTTAGTCAAACTTCAAGCTCTTCTGGATGTGAACGAAATTGGAGTGTTTTTGAGCGCATACATACTAAAAAGAGGAATAGATTGGAGCATCAAAGGTTGAATGATCTTGTTTTCGTTCACTATAACTTGCGTTTGCAAAACAGGTATAAAACATTGTCAATTACTCAATTATCCATCACTCTTATTGTTATTATCTATTATTTTCCTTGATATTTTAGTTGTCATGCTTTTAATATTTCTTTATGGTATTTTAGGAAGTGTTACAAGAGAATAAGTTTGGATCCTATTGATTATGAAAGTATGGACAAAACTGAAGGTTGGATGGTTGACGATGAAGAGGAGGAGGTCAGTGAACTTAATTATGAAGAGTTGGAACAAATGTTATATGGAGAAGGATTTATTCCTACTGGAGTTGCTTATCACCCTTCTTTTTATGATTCAACAGATGGTTCAGAAGGTTGGTTTCAATTATTTAAGCAACTTAGTATCTATTTAAATTAAATTACAAGTTTTAACTTATGATTTCTATTTTTTACTTAAATTTGTGTAGATGGTGGTGATGGTTATGATGAGGATGATGGTGATGGTGATGAATTTTGATGCTAGTGTGTGAAGCTCAATCAACATGGAGACGGATCAAAGAAAAAACACTTGCATCAAATGTTTTGTTATTAATTAATATGTATTTTGACATTTAATATGTAAATACAACATCATGTTTGGATTTAGACTTTGAATTGTTGTTAAATACTTAAATTATGTTAGGATTGTTGTTGAATTTGAACTTTGAATCATATTGGATTGGACAGTAATTGAGTTGTTATTGTCTTATTAAAAAATAGAAATCTAAAAAAAAAAAATTTAAAAATGTGCTGATGTCATCATGATGTGTGATGACATCACCGGTCCAACCGACGGTACAACTGGTTGGACCGGTTGAACCGTGACCCGGCCATTAGAGCAGGTTACCCGCCGGTCCGGTTTTTAAAACAATGATTCTTTCATTCTCTCATTTTCTCTAATCTCTAATCTCTATTGAAATCTCTCAATTATTCTTTTTGTTGTCAATTTGCTCTTATTTTAATTTTTATTAGTTTTTGCAATTTTCAATTCATATTTTCATATTCCAATTCTCCTTCTTTAATTTTTTATTTCTTCAATATCAATTTTTTTTTTTAAACAATGGATAGATATTTCTCTCCCATCAATTTCAATGATGAAGAAAACTACTATCCTAATCCCGCTGAATTTACTAACATAAATATAGGAGATTCAAATAGTCTCGCTTTCCCAGTCTCAAAATCTGATACACCTCAAAATATGCCCATGATTCCTCCCTATGCTCCTACAGCTACAGCTCCTGTGGTTCTAGAAGTCATCCTCGTAATCATCGTCCTCGTCCAACTTCATCTCAAGCTGAAGCAGGTTCATCAACTGCTATCGAAACCGAAGACAGACACACATCAGACGTTTGGTTGCATTTCGACAAGTTTTACGAGATAGAAAATGGAGTTCAAGTGAAGAAAGCAAGATGCAAGTATTGTGGAAATATTTATAAAGCTGATTCAGGTAATGGTACTAGTATTTTAAAAAGGCATGCTAATAAACATATTGCTCAACATGGAAATAGAGAAATCAGTCAAACTCAAATAACTAATATGGGTACTACTTGGCATTATAATTCTGATGTATATAGGGAACAATTAGCTTTATATATTGCTGCAACTGATCAACCTATTAATATGGCTGAAGATAAATATTTTGAAAGATTTATTAAAAATTAATTTTTTTCCAGGATTTAAAAGTTATTCTAAAACTACAACTAAAAATGATTTAATAAAATTATTTGAGAAAATGAAATTAGAATTAAAAAATAAAATACATAGTTGTCATGTTAGTATGGCTCTAACAAACAATATTTAAAGTGGTAGAGCTAAACAAGATTATATTTGTGTGACTAGTCATTATTTTGATAACGAATGTAAATTAAATAAATCTTTATTAGGATTTAGATTAATGGATATGGATCATAGTGGTCAATAAATTTATAATAAAATTGTTGAAGTTTTAGAAGATTATGATGTTGTTAATAAAGTGATAAGTTTAACTTTAGATAATGCAAGTGCTAATACTACATCTATGGATTTTTTTTTAAAAGTAATTATCCTTTTTATAACAATTTGAAGTTTTTTCACCAACGTAGTGCACGTCACATGATTAATTTAATTGTGAAAAGTGGTATGAAAATAATTAAATAAAATATTGATAGAATTAGGGATTCTATAGTTTGGATTATTAGTAGTAATAAAAGAAATGCTGAATTTCAAGATGCTTGTATAAAATCAAATATGTCTCCTAGAACTTTTGCATTAGACATATATGTTAGATGGAATAGTACTTATATAATGCTTGATTCATGTTTATCTTATGCAAATTTAATTAGTTATTTTGTAGCAAATAATAGAAATCCTCATTATTTGTTAGAAAATGATTGGCATATGGCTAAAATATTTCATTTTTTTCTTAAAATTTTTTACGAATCTACTTTACAATTTTCTGGTGTGTATGATCCTACTAGTCCATTAGTAATACATACAAATATAAAAATTTCAGAGTTATTTAGAAAAAAAAAAAACAAAAACAATGAAATTTTAAAGGAACCAGTAAAGGCAATGGAAATTTTATTTTAAAAATATTGGAAACTCATTCCTTTTCTTTATTGTTTAGGTGCTATATTTGATCCTAAAATTAAAGTAGCAAGTTTAGAAAATAGTTTAGACACATTAACTGAAAATTTACAAAACGGAGCATATGTCAATCAACTAGGAGAGGTAAGAGATTGTCTTGCAGAGGTATATTTCCACCATGAAAATAGGTATGAGAACCTGCAAATACGTGAAATACCCAGGGAAGTTGCATCAGAAGAAACAAGTGAAAACTTCTACTCCTGGAGTGCATTTAATAGGTCGAAGAGGACCCAAACCTGAAGCACAACCTCCTCTTCAAAAGCACCAACAACGTCAACGAATATACTGTCTTTCATGTAGTCACAAAGTAATGAGCTTCAATAATATTTGGGAACCCCCGAAATGTTACCAGCAGATCCATAACAAATAGCCAACTTTGATGTCTTAGAATATTGGAAAACCAGAAAATGTATTTTTCCAGTATTATCAAGTCTTGCCTTGGATGTTTTAGCTGTTCCTGTCTCAACTATCTAATCCGAACAAACATTTAGTGCAAGTGGAAGAATTTTAAATGAAATGAGGACTAAACTTTCACAAAAAATGATTGAAGTCCTCACATGTCTTCGAGATTGGAAACGGTCGCACCATTAAGATCAATACGAGATTGTCGACGATACTTTAATAGAATCATTTCAATTTTCTAATATAGATGATACGGATGAGGGAGGTCCTAGTCAACCCCCAAATTAGTTGTTTTGTAAATTGTAACTTGATAAATGAATAAATCCAATTTTCTTTATATTACAATTTTATTGTATTAAAATTGAATTAATATTTGAAATGTTAAGTTATTAACAATTTTTTTTTTAATTTAATTGAATTATTGATATTTGAAAAGTTAACTAAAAACAATTGCACAAAACAAAAGAAAATTAAAAAAATTAAAATTAAAAAAAAAAGAGGCTAACCCGGCCCGGCTCGCAGCATAACCCGTCGGGTTAGGGTTGGCGGGCCAGGCTGGGCCAGCCAATTCCAACAAAGTGGCAGGCCGGGTAACTGTCAACCTACCGCGGGCCGGGCTGGGCGGGTTGCTTTTCCACCTTTAAAACAGAGCCTAGAGTTTTGTGTTAGGTAAGAAAACTTTTAATGAATCAACTTATCAATTTTTCTGTTCATGAAACTCACAGTAAAATCATTTCTATCTTTTGGTTGAGATAACTCATTCATACAAAATTTTGAAGAAACTTTGGATAACATTATTCTTCGCTAGTCTTAAGCCTAGATTACAAAATAAGGGATGATAAGTAGCTCAAATAAGTTATCACAAGATGTTTATGGTATTGCATAAGAATGAATTGCACAATTTCCCATCCTAGGTGTATTGTAGATAGATGAAAAGCAATTTTATTGGCTCATTCCTAGAATTAAGTATAATACTCTTTATTATCCACTCAATCTCAATACACTCTCTAAATAGGATTAATGACTAGTAAAGCATCATCTTTGCATCTTGTAACTTGCATTATGCATGGCGAGACTTTACAACTTAAATATCACCGTTGGGCCTAAACCTATAAGCTTAAGCTTTTGGTTTAAGAACCTACTTAATAATTCTATTTATATTTCACATCAATTATCATGCACATTTTAATGCTTCTTAGGGAATTTCTTCCTCCTATTATTTGTCCCTTAACTAGCGTTTCTAATTAGACTTAATAACCTTTTATAGTCCCCA